CCCAGCCCCACCCAGCGCCACCCACCCAGCAGGCTGCACGCCATGGAGTTCATCCACCGCCGCGCCTCCAGGCTGTCAAGTCCCAGGATGATGACCGTGAACTCCGCGTAGAAGTCCGGCGGCAGGTCCTCTATGCGGCAGTAGTGCGGCGTCACATTGGCGCCTGCGACGCGCGCGTTGACGCGCTCGGCGGCCACCACCGCCTTGGGCTTCCCGACGTCCGCCATCCTGCGAAGAGGGGGGGGGGGGCGGTGGGGTTTGGGTGTAGGGGCGGAGAGGTGGAGGTATGGTCTGGGCGAAGAAGAGGTTTGTGTTGCCCTGCCAGCTTGGTCGGGGTTTAGACAGGCTGTATGAATGTGATTAGAAATGTGTTTGCGGCTTGGCTGGAGAGTATTTGCGGCGGGTGAGTGCGTTGCGAGGAGGCAGGAGGGCGGATGCACTTCTGCTTGCGTGGTTCGTGGGTTTTAGGGTTGGGCCGCGGCGAGAGTGGTGGCTGCAGGGTGGGGGAGCGGGATGCACACTAGTGGGGGCAGCGTTGGCCCCCGCATCCCTGGATGTCATCTGTATCTGACGCGACCCAGCAAAGCGGCGTTTCCAACATGGCTGGGTGAACGCCACTGCAAGCGCCGCCCTGCATTACAGCGCCTGGTGCCTCCTGCCCAGCTTGAGCAGCGCCCTCCCATCAACTGCTCGCGAATGTCGTCAAAAAAAGAAATGTCGCAGCCGACAGGACCATACTCCGTGTCTGCACCGCGCGACGCCCAACCGACGAAGCCAGGTCCAACAAGCCACAGGCGCATGTGCACATCCTCAATCCGCTCCATGCCCTCCTCCACGATTGATCTTGACCCTGTCTGTATGCCGCCACTCGCCCCGCTTTGATGGTTGACAAACCACCCCCGTCACCCTGGGCACACCACATCACACACACCTGAACAGGAACTGGCGGTTCAGGTTCGACACGTCGATGGTGTCCATGTCAATGACGTCGATGTTCACAACCCCGGAGAGCGCCAGGTCCTTGAGTATCTCGCACCCCAGCCCGCCGGCGCCGATGCACAGCACGCGGCAGTCTGTCTGGAGGAACTCCCGCAGCTCTGGGCCTGGCTCGAACCCGGGGCCGACCAGGTTGCCGTTGCGGGTCAACAGCTTGTCCAGGTCCTGCCAGCGCCCCTCGAGCTCCATGGGTGCCGCTGCCAGTGCCTGGAGCCCGGCACGCGCTTGACTGCGGCGAGCTGTGCCGCCCCGTTGCTGCTCGCCCCGACAGCCAGCCGCGGACGACCACCGCTCAGGGCAATGTGAGGTCTAGGAAGTGGCTATACGGCACAACTAGCAATTGGCTCGATCGGAGGTGTCACAGGGGCGGGACGAGGGGAGCGGGAGGTGGATCACTCTGGTGATCTACGAGACAAGTGTCTAGGTTTCCAGGCGATTGTAATGCATTGCACAATACTTGTACATCATACATATATTGTTCTCAAGCTGTTACAACGTCCGTTTTGAGGCTCGCGACGCTTTAGTCCTCGCTTGGATGCGCAGTCGCACGGTGTGGTGCGTGAGGTGGCATCCTAAACGCACTCGCATCTCACACGGCCACTAGGGTTGGTGCTGGCGCGGCACAAAGGGCAGAGATGCAGGCTCGCGTGCCTTCATGGGCAGCAGGCTGGATAGCCAATGCGCTTCCGCGGCAGCTTTGCATGACATATAGACGTTCAGATGGACAGGTCGGCAGTGGCGGGCTGCAGCGGTGGCGCCGGGCGCCGCACCCATCGGCACTGTGCTGTGCCGCCCGCGTTGCGCGCCCTGGCCCCCGCACCGCTGAAGCGGCGGCAACGCCAGCAGCGGTAGCGGAGGATCCAGACGGCGCCCTCCCCAGCAGCAGCAGCCGCGGCAGTAACCTTGTCGTCCCAAGCAACCGCGGCCACGAGGGGGCCAGCAGCAGCGGGAACGGCGCCGCGCACGAGCAGGAACGGGAGCAGCACGAGCAGCGGCAGCAGCGGCGGCAGCCGCAGCGGCAGCGGCAGGAGCGGTGGACCTACAAGTATCCCCGCGCCCGCGGCCCCGGCTCGCCCTGCCGCGCCGGCGACTGTTTCTGCGCTGAGCTGGAGGCCCTCATTCAATGCGTCCTGGGCTTCCCCCGAGTCCCGCATGCCGTCTGCGGCCGGCTCGAAAGCCTGCGGCCGTGCGGCATGCGCCAGATCACAGACCTCGTCGAGTCCATGGCGGACTACTTTGGGTCAGAGCTGACGCTGTACTATATTCGCCGCGCGCCCGCGATCCTCGAGCTGGACTTCCCGACAGTCGCGTCGCGCTGCCGCGGGCTGCGCGACGTGCTGGGTGTGGAGGAGTACGAGCAGCCGCTGCTGCTGCGCAAGTGCCCGGCGCTGCTGCTGCTGGAGCCCCAGGAGCTGCGGGCGCGGTATGAGGCCCTGCCTCAGGTGCTGCGGCTGGCGCCAGACAAGGTGAGCGCACGCAGGGGGCCAGACGGTAGGCGACGCCACCCTCGCGTGCCGCACGCGGCCGTGGCGGGGGGGCAGTCTGCACAATTACTGAGGACCAGCTTATGACACGTCCGAAGCGTTGGCTCAACAACAGTTCCCGGGTCGATAGGCAAAGTTTGTTTTGTAGTGCGCGGCATCGCTGGCCGGGGGGGGGGGGGGTCCAAGATCTAACATACAATCTGATCCGCCACACCGCAATGGCTGCACCCAACCCTCACAGGCGCGTGACCTGGTGTTAAAATACCCCCCGGTCCTCAGCCGCCGCGCCGCCGCCACGGCGTTCATGGCCGGCCGCCTGCGCGCGCTGTGCCAGGCGCGCGGGCAGTGGCAGGCCGACGCGCTGACCATTACGCCCAGCCTCCTGGCCTTCTTTCTGAGGGACTTTGGCGACATGGTGGGTGGCGCCTACGGCGCCCTGTCGCATGGCACGGATGAGTCGTGCCGTGGCGCACGGCCACCCTCTAGGCGGCAGGGTGGTTCAGCAGTCCTGGGGAGATTTGGGCGGTTTTTCCAGCACATCTGTGTGTCCTGTTGCGTCAGCTCCGAAAGTCTCTTTGGCACGAGCATTGGGTTTTGCTGGCGCGGCGTTCGGCTGTGTCGGGCCACAGGGGTGTCGAGCACCTAGGGCCGCAGCCTCATGCTCAACGCCCGTGCCGCACGCACACCTGCGACGCCGCGCGGCTCGGCGGCGGGGCAGCAGCTGGCATCCCACATGCACGCTCGCGACTGCCGCAGTCGCAACCCCCCAGTCCCCAGCCCAGCCGCTCTCACAAACTCTGCGACAGCAACGCAGTGCACGCCCTATTGACCCCTCCTCTCCCCCACAAATCCCACCCCCTGGCCCCAGGTGCGGCGCTTGGAGTACCTCGTTTCGACAGGGGAGTCCCCAGGAGTGCGGCTGCGCGAGGTGTTCAAGCCCACCACCAGCGCATTCACCGCGCGCCACCGCGGCTTCCGCGCCTGGAGCGAGGCCGCGCGGCAGCGGCGGCAGCGGCAGGCGGCGCTCGCGCAGAGCGCGGCGCTGAGGGCCGAGGCGGACGAGCTTAAGGCGGCGATCGCGGCCGGGGACGGCGGCGGCGGCGGCGGGCTTGGCGGTTGGGACGCCGAGGTGGGAGCGGAGGAGGACGCCATCATGCAGCAGCAGCGGCGGCAGCGGCAAGGGCTGGAGGTTTCGGGTTGGAGCCAGCTGCAGCAGCAGCACCATCACCACCACCACCACCACCAGCTGCAGCAGCAGCAGCAGCAGCAGGATGACCAGCAGTCGCAGCAGCACCAGCAGCAGCAGCACCAGCAGCAGCACCAGCAGCAGCACGCCCTAGCAGGGCAGCAGCACGAGCACCAACACCGCCAGCAGTTGCAGCAGCAGCAGAAGCGCCCGGAGCAGCAGCAACAGCAGCAGCAGCAACAACAGCAGCAACAGCAGGAGCAACAGCAGCAGCCCCAGGCATCCCAGCACGCCAGCTCAGCCGCGCCGTTGAGCCCACAGCAGCGGGCCCAAGCAGCCGAGCGGGAAGTGCTGCGGCGTCTGCGTCAGCCAGCGCACAGGCCGCGACACCGGGAACCCTCCCTTACGTGAGGCAGGGCTGGTGGCGGCGCAGCGGACTGCCTTGTTAAATCCCCTGAGCCGCGTGCGGTTGCTCTGCTTTCTTTTTCGCCGCCATCATGAGTTTCGAAGTGTTCATGGTGCTGCGCAGTCCGGCACCAGGACAGGAGGTGCTGAGAGTGGCATTACATTGCACAGAGCCCTGCCAATCAGTGACGCTCGTCTGTGTAAAGCGAAGGAAAGGATGCCTCCAAAGTGGCAAGACGAGCGGGCGAGACCGCCCGTAGCTGAAGCCGCATTGTGCCCACAGGCGCAGGCGGCGCCACCATGCCGCGGTGGCGTCACGCGAACCAACCAATCAGCGGGCAGGGGGCCCGCTGTCAAATAAAGGAGTGGATCCCTGGGCTGCTGGGCAGGTGGTAACAAAGCAAGAGGGCACATGGAAAGCAAGCACACTGTGGCCCTGTCATCAGTCAATCAATGAGAGCGCTCCAGACCGAAGAAGCGGTTGCCAAAACGGGCTGCGCATAAGGCAACCATAGGCGCTGCGAAGCGCAGCGTGCCTGCTCCAAGGGCATAGCGGCGGCGCCCCTGCGGCTGCGGAGGGCGCCTCATTTGCTGCGCGTCAGCACGCGCTGCGTTATGCTAACCAGCGCCTCGCTGCACAGCTGCGCGTGCGCGCACGCCGCCGGCTGCAGCGCCCGCACCTGCGCCGCCGCGATCGCCGCGTGCTCCGCCGCGAGCGCCCGCGCGGCCGCGACGCCGCTGCCCGCCGCCACGAGCTCGACCGCTGCCGCGACGTCGCCGGCGCCCTTGAACTTGCGCCGGATCAGCGGCAGCAGCGCCGGCTGCTCACGCGCGGCGAGCAGCACCGGGGCCGTCGCGATGCCGGCGCGCATGTCGTTGAGCGCGGGCTTGCCCAGCACGCTGCTGCTGCCCGTGATATCAAGAATGTCGTCCACAATCTGGAACGCGAGCCCGAGGTGCCGCCCGTACTCCCACGCCGCGTCGCGCGCCGCGGGCGGCGCGCCGGCCACGATGGCGACGCAGCGCGCGCTGTTAGCCATGAGGCTCGCCGTCTTGCAGAACGTCTTGGTCATGTAATGGTCGAGCGACCCCAGCGCCTCCTCGCCCGCCGTCATCTGCATCACCTCGCCCGACACGAGGTTCTCCAGGACGCGGCTCATCAGCTCCGTCACCTCGTGGTCGCGGAGTGACGCCAGGGTGACGCTCGCGCGCGCGAGCAGGAAGTCGCCCGCGAGGATCGCGAGCTTGTTGCCCACGCTCGCGTTGAGGCTCAGCACGCCGCGGCGCGTCGAGGCGTCGTCGATGACGTCATCGTGCAGCAGGCTGGCGACGTGGATCGTCTCCGCGATCTCCGCCACGCGCTGCGCACGCCGCCGCGGCTCCGCCGGCGGCTCGTGCGGCGGCCGCAGGTCGGGCGCCGCCCAGTCCGCGGCGCCGGCGCCGCCGGGCGGGCGGCCCGAGAGCGCCGACGCGAGCAGCAGCAGCAGCGTCGGGCGCAGGCGCTTGCCCTGGACGCCGGGCCGGAAATAGTAGTCCGCGGCCAGCTTGAGCGCGGGCACGTTGCTCACGACGCTGTGGCGCAGGCGCTCAGACACCGCCTGGACCTCGTCCACCACGATGCCAAAAGGGTCCACCGCGGCGGCCGACGCGGCAGCCGCCCCCGCAGCGGCGGCGGCGGCGGCCGCAGCCGCCTCGTCAGGCTGCAGCTGCTCCTCCGTCACGTTGGGCTGCACGTGGCCCGCAAGCGCAGCGAGCGGCGACGCGTGGAATGCGCGGCGCGTGGCGGCAGCTGCAGAGAGGCTTGGATAGCTGCTGCTGCTGGTGCTGGTGCTGCTTCTGCTGCTGCTGCACAGCGGGCTGCTGCTGCCGCAGCTGTGCAGCCAACCGCTGTAGCTGCCTATCAAGCTGCGCTGCCAGCTTGTTGAGCCGTAATTGGTGCTATTGCCGCCGCTGCTGCTGCTGCTGCCGCTGCTTCTGCTGCTGCTGCTGCTGCTGCTGCTGCTGCTGCTGTTCCTGCCAAAAACAACACTAGCACGGCCTCCAGAGTTGTCGGTTCCGCTGGTGCTGCAATGAAATTGGCGGCTCCAGCGTGCAAGCGCGCCTTCATCCTGCAGCAGCGGCGAGGCAGATCTTCTGTCGCCTCAAGCGGCATCGCCACAAGTTCAGAACTGCAGGACGCACAGGCTAGCACTCTGGTTGCTGGCAGCCCTTGGCAAGCGACTTCCCATGCGGCGCGCACCTGCCATGCCGCCTCAAGAAGGGCTCCGCGAGCGACAAACGCTGATACGGTGTGCAGCGCAAGCGTCGGCGCGTCACCTGTGCGCATTCACCATGTGGGGTGGGCTCAGGTACTGGCAGGCAGAATTTCACATGGCTTCCATTACAACGCGCCCTGCCGCTCACCACCCACGCCGCGGGACGACAGCAGAACGCTAGAGATCATTCGTGCTGGCGCCTTGGTGACTATCGGCAATCAGCTGTACTGAAGCTTAAATACAGCCTAAAAGAGACATGTCATGCGTTATGCAGCAAAAAGAGCGCTGTCCAAGGGGCCGGTGCTTGTCCTGTGCGGTGCAAGTTCTGAGGGAGTGTCGAAGCAAGCTCCTCGACACAAACAAATAACTCAGTATCACGCAGCATTTGTCTACCACATGGTGAATAGTTAGAACCAGACCACGAGGCAGTGCACCAGACGCCTGAAACCAACAGACAAAGCACCATCCTGGTGCTGGCCGCGCGATATAAACACTTGAAGTTTTTCGTTGAGTCGCGCTTGCGCGCAGGGGGCCGCAACCACTTTTCGTGGTGTCCACCCGGTCAGGCCTGTTTCAGCGCGTAGGCGGGCTTCAAGAGGCTTGACTGAGTTATAAAACGTCCGGTTACAATGGACCTGGACGATCTGCTGCAGGAGCAGCTGGGCTTCAACCCGGCGCGCAGCATGGCGCAGCAGAAGGCGCAGCAACAACAGCAGCAACAGGCGCCCTCCCCGCGCCCCAAGACAGGGCCGGCTGGCGTACCCCTGCCGTCCCCTCGCCCGCCGCTGTCAGCATCCGCAAGCCCCATGCGCGGTGCCGCAGCGGCGACGTCGGCACCCGCGTCCCGGAACGGCTCCACCGGGTCTCTGGCGGGCTTGGACGACCCATTCGCGTCACTTGTGGGCGGCATGTCCAAGCCTCAGCCCATGGCCTCTGGCAGGTGCGCTGGTGACCAGGCCGCAGTGACAGCCATGGGGCCAATCCCAAGTGCATGGGTTTTGGCCTGGTTCCTGCGGCTTGTAGCAGGTCTGGGGCTCGACCATTTGGGTGTTTAGAATCCGGCGTACATGGACGCAAGCGTATCGGCCCCGGCAAACCCTTCGCCACTCCGCGACCCTCGCAGGGCGCCGCAGCCGACCCCCTCGCCCCCGGCGCGCCCGTCGCCGCTCAGCAGCGCAAACAACACGCCGCCGCGCCCGCCGGCGCCGACGGCAGCGGCGCCGCGTGGGCCGGCGTTTGCCGCGCCGCCCAGCCAGGTATCTTTCGACCTTGATTCTCTGTTTGGAGGGCCCCCCAAGCCCGCGACTCATGCAGCAGCAGCAGCAGGTTCTCCGGCCGTGGCCACTTTGAGCGACGACCCGTTTGCGGCTTTTGACAGTGTCGACGGCGCAGCGGCGCCAGTCCCAGCGGCGGCCCCAGCGCCCGCCGACGATTTCGGGAGCTCCGCGCCGGGTCCCCGGCCACAGTCGTCTGGCGGCGGCGGCGGCGTGCGCGCCACCAGCGAGGGGCTTGGGCAATCGTCCTTTGTTGATGGCGCGGCCGCGGCAGCGGCTGCTGCAGATGTCGTGGCGGCAGCGGACCGCCGGGAGGAGGACGAACGGGCCCAGCGCGAGGAGGAGCGGCGGCGGCGGCAGCAGCAGCTTGTGCGGGAACAGCAAGCACAGCTGGAGCGACAGGCACAGCTGGAGCGACAGCAGGAGTTGGAGCGGCAGCGGGAGCGGGAGCGGGAGCAGGAGCGGGAGCGGGAGCGGCAGCAGCAACAGCAGGCGTCATGGCCCAACACCCGCCCTTCCGAGTTTGAGCCGCAGCGGCAGCGGCCGAGGCCGCATGACCCTTCCGCAGAACAGCAGCAATGGCAGCAGCACCAGCAGCAACCGGCGCCCTACCCCGACGGGCTCGATTACGGCAGCGATAACAGCGGCGGCGGCAAGGGCTGGGGCGGCATGCTCCGCGGCCTGTCAAAGCAGGCTGCGGAGCTCGGGAAGAAGGGCCTGCAGGCGGCGCAAAAGGGGCTGCACCAGCTCGAGTCCGCCCTCGAAAAGGTCGAGCCCCACGGCCGCGCGGGCTCGTCCGGCGGCGGCGGCGGCGGCGGCGGCGGCCGGGCGCAGCACGAGTGGGAGGACGGCGGCGGCGCGGCCGTGTCGCATGAGGAGGTGCTGAGCTACGCGATCCAGATCAGCGAGATCCCGAGCAACAGGCAGGAGCAGGCGCTCGCATGCCTGCCACGCGCAGTGCGCATGCAGGTGCAGATGATGCTGCGGGACCAAGCGGTGGCGGAAGGAGAAAAGGCACTCGCAGGCAGCGGCAGCGGCAGCGGCAGCGGCGGCGGCGCGGCAGGCGCGCCGTGGCGCGGCAGCGGGGGGGTGATCCGTACGCACGAGATAGACACCTCTGGCGGCGGCGGGCACTCCAGCGACGAGGAGGACTTTTACAGCCGGCACCCTGCTGCGTCGCAGAGGCAGGCCCAGCAGCAGCAGCAGCAGCAGCAGCAGCAGCAGCAGCAGCAGCAGCAGCAGCAGCAACAGCAGCAGGTCGCCGCAGCCTCGCCGTCGCCGAGCGCCGCGCGCACGCAGCCAAGCGCTTTGCAGCGGCGCCCGTCGCCGGCGCACTCGCAGCAGGCGTCGCCGGGGGGCGCCGCCGGCGCGCAGGCAGTGAAGGCGGCGCTTTCTGCCAGCCACGGGGACCTGTTGGACTTGGGGGGCGGCGCCGCGCCTGCGACCGGGGCATCCGCAGCCGCGGCATCCCCTTCAAAGCCGGCAGCGGCGGCGGCGGCGGCGGCGCCGGGGGTGGGCGAGGACTTGCTGGGCTTTGGCGGCGGCCCGGCCCCTGCTGCGCCGGCGGCCAAGGCGCCTGCGCCCGCAGTGGTTGACGTTTCTGACGCCGACGACTTCTTTTCGGGCGGCAGCGGCGGCGCCGCGGCGGCGGCGGGGCCGCAGCAGCAGCGGCAGCATCAGCAACAGCAGCAGCAGCGGCAGCGGCCGGCGGCGGCGGCGGCGCGGCCAAAGGCGGCCGGGCTGGGGGCGCTGGACGCGCTACTTGACGTCAGCGGCGTCGACGTCACCGGCCACGCGTGAGCGCTCGGGCTCTGAGGTTGCGATCAGGCCGACATGCGCGCGACCTGAGCACTCGGCGTCCTGCAGCTGGCGGGGATGGCGGCCGCTGGGTGACTGCTGACAGCCCTTGCTGAGTCGCCCCTCTTCCCAAAACGGCCTGCACCACGCACGGCGTCTTATCCACCCCCAAAAGCAGCCATGCAACCGACCACTCAACCACCCAACCAGCCACCCACCTAACCAACCACCCAATCAACCACCCGACCATCCGACCACCCAACCACCCATGCCGCGCAGGGACCTGTATGATGGTGACGAGGGCGGCGGCGGCGACGAGCCCGAGCTGCGCAAGCAGCTGCGGGCGGCGCGCATCGCGGAGAAGCACGGCAAGATGAAGGCCGCGCTGGCGGAGCAGCAGGTGGGGCGCGCCTTTATCTTGTATCATAGGAGGGGGCAGGGCCGGAGGAATCGCCCAGCAGAGCCGCTGAGGGACGCGCGGCCTCCGCTCTACATAGCAGGCCGGCCGACGGGGCGCCGCGGCGCTCGGCCGCGGCGCCTACTTCCCCGCCTCTCCCGGGCCTGCTTCCCCGCGAGACTCTCCAAGCCAATCAACCCGTTTTGCAACCCATGCCCTGCCCCGGCCCCCGCAGGCGAAGGAGGCGGAGGAGGCGCAGCGCCGCGGCGCGCAGCAGGGCTTCAAGGCGGCGCACCGCGAGCGCGTTGACGCGTGGAAGAACAAGAACAAGGGAAACGTGCGGGGGCTGCTGGGCAGCCTGCAGAACGTGTTGTGGGAGAACAGCGGGTGGAAGCCCCTGGGGATGGGGGACCTCCTGGAGCCAAACCAGGTGAGGGGCCGGGAGGGGGGGAGGGGTTGTAGGGTGTGTGTGTGTTCTGCAGGGCGGCACGGGCATCGGAGGGGGGAGGGCCAGGTCAGGGGCTGCAGGGGCCAGGGACTGCAGGGGCGGCGGTGACTTTTGGGGGCAGGGCTTTTGGGGTAGCAGGGCCTTGGGGGGAGGGGGAGAAAGAGGCTTTTGAGGAGCGGCTCACGCGCGGCAAGGTGCGGTGACTTGCGGCAGTGTAGTCTCCAGTCGTGGGTAGTGGCAAAACAGTATGTTGGGCTTTGCTGCCCAGTTACTGCCTCGCTGCGTCCTGCCTGCCAGGGGC